CCTCACCAGCCCCGGGGGGCCTCACCACCCCTGTCAGCACCACGAGCCATTCCAGCTCGGAGAAACCCAGCCATCCTACCCTTGACTATACCCTCACCGCTACCACTCTAGACACACTGGCACGGCACCCACTGTGTGCCGAACACTCTTTGAAGCCCTTTGCATATGTTATATATCATCTCGGTTAAGCCCCGTGACGGCTCGACAGGTGGATGCTATTGCCACCTCTGTTTTCAGATGGGAACACAGAGGCTCTGAGAGGTTACCTTACTTGCCCAGGGTCATAGACATGGTGATAATATGAGGCAGATCTGGGATTCACACCTAGGCAGTGCAGCTTCCAAACGCGTGCCCGTGGCCATGACTCCGTACTGCCTCTTGCTGTGACGCTCTCTGATCTGGGGCCGTCCTGCCGCTCTCAGCATTCCCTCCAGAGCCTCTTGCCCCCGCGTCCTTCTGCACACTACCTGACTTCCGCGACTCCCTCGCAATTTACCTTGTCTTGCAGCTTAACTTCTTCCTTTGTCCTTCTGCCAAAGCCACCCAGCAAAGCCTCCACCCTGCCTCTTCCGAGTCTATGCCCAAACTGCTAAGCCTCATGGATGAAAAGAAAATCACCAGCCAGCACGTCTCTGGGATCACTCAGGCCTTCAAGGCTCCGGGGGAACCTTCCCCCAACCCAGTCAGTGCTCAGCAGCCCCCTCACCGGGACCGCACCTCCTCCTGGATGCACTCATGCCCCTCCCGTCCTAAAACAAAACCAGCCCCTCCTTCAACCCCACATCTGCCTCCATTTAACACCCTCTCCCCTTCCTCAAAGCACTGTCTACACTCCCTATCTGCCTACACTTTACTTCCGCAAGACTCATTCCACTCCAATCTGGTTGCTGTCCCATCACGCTCTCTCTCTCCTCGTTGCTGAAATCAGCAGACGAGGTTCAGTCCTTAGCTAACCTGACCTCTCCACAGCTTTGGCCTTGCTGAACCCTCCCTTCTGGAAGCATTCCCTTCCTCTTGGAAACAGGCTCCTTAAACTTCATCTTCTCCCACAAAGCCCAGATACCCAGCCAGAAACTCGGGTTTCAGCCTCGCTCTTCCTTCTCCCTCGGGCTTTCCTCCACACATTTCCAACCCAGTCCATCCCCAGTCGCCTGCAGATTCTTCCCTCTGTGTCTCTAGAAACCATCCCATCCTCTTCAGTCTCCCTGCTACCCCACCCCTTCCCCTCCTCCATCTCTCCCTGCTGCATCCCTCCTGGGCTCCCCACTGCTGCCTCTTCCAGGTGGCCCCCTTGATTTTGCTCAAGTGGAGCGGAATTCAGTAGGTGCAGTCAGGTGAACATGCTGCCCCCTGTGCCTGAAATGTGGTCGACTTCCCCTTTACCTGGTTAACTCCTGCTCAACCCTCAGAGTGCAGCTGGGCAGTCACTTCCCCCAGAAAGCCTTCCCTAACTCCCCAGATCAGCAGGTCAAGTCAGGTGTCTGGGTCTGCATCCTCCAGCTTTCTTCCTGGAAGACCAGTCCCCAGGGGCCCAGGGAATGTTGGTTAAACAAATGGTGAAGAGAGGAGCTGGTCACAGGGGTGTCCTGCCTTCCTGGCTTCACCTGGGTCCTGGTTTTGAAGTGACTCTGTGCCCATTTCTCTCTGATTCCCTGATCACTTTGGGCCTTGGGAAGCGGTGGCTGTCAGCAGGGTCAGGACTGGAGGTGGGTGCTGCGGCAGATTCTCACGGAGTTACATAGAACAGGGAGAGATAAGGGTCAAGCAGAGGGGCCCAGGGCAGCCACTGCATGCTATATGTCCCCTTCCGTTGTTTCCCTCTATGTCTTTCTCATCTCTTTTCGGAGAAGTCTCTCCCCGGCTACAGGTACCTGACCTCTTGTCTGGGCACTACTCCATTCTGCTGGGGTTTCAGGCTGGATGGAGCCTGTCCTCCACTCCCTAAAGACTCCCCTCCTGGCCGCCCTCTCCCGCTGGTCTCATCCCCTTGGCTCCCCCCCAGCCTCCCCCAACTCGTGGGGCTTTCACTTGCCTGAGCCGGTCGGACGGACGCTTCTCTGAGCAGCCCGGGCCAGCCGGAGGGCAGGATCCCACAGGCGCTGGGGGTCTGGGGCGTGCGGGGCGGGGGAGTGGGGGGGGGCGCAGGCCCGGGCTGCCGGGCCCCGGGCGGCCGCGGGCGGGGGCGCGCGGGCGGCGGGCGGCGGGGTCCGGGCGCCCCTCGCGCAGCGTCGCTGCGGCTGCTGGGCCCCTCGGCGCCCGGGCGGAGCGGCGTTCTCACGGAGTGTCCTCCCCTCTCCCGCTCCGCACCGCCCCTCTCCCCTTCCCTCCTCTAGTTCGGCGGCTTCTAGCACCTTGCTCTGAGCTCCCAGCACCCCCGCGGTCTCCGGCCCGGACTTTGGGGGGCCTGGGATGCAGACGTTGCCACTCTGGAGCGAGGGACGTAAGTGGCACGGGTTCCGTCTGCAGCCCCTTCCCTGGAGGGGGCGGGGGGGGGGGGGGGCTGTGGGGGCAGGGAGACTTCTGAGGGAAGGGGCTTGATTTCAGCCACTCTTCCCCAATCACCGCCCACCAACCCCCCCAATGGGGTGTGGCCACGAGCCCCTTCCAGAAGGCGACACTATCTCCCAGTGGCATCTGTAAGGGCCTATTGGGGATGAGGGGTGGGGAGGGAGGACTGGGTGGGAGACCGAGGTGCTGACTTCCAGAACCTTGAGGTGTTCAGCTGGAAGAGCATCTCCTCCAGGTTGTGCCTTCATTCATTTGCTCATCCATTCATAAACCCTTCCTGATGTGAACCATGTGCCCAGCAACCTTCCTCCCACAGGGGCCCTGCGAAGGAGGCACTACACCCCGTCCCCTGGCTGCAGAGGAGGAAACCAAGGTGCAAGTCCCCATGGCCTCTTGCCCAGCACCCCGTGCCCCTGTGCTGTGGGGGATGCAGAGGCAGGATGTGAGTCATCCCTAGACTCCAGCCCCAGCCTGGTCAGTCCTCCCGATTGGCCAGCAGGGCTGTGACCTCCGAGGGGCTGCCTGGACCAAGCACTCTCCACTTCGGTGTGTTCTCTGAACCATGGTTGACTTTCTCTTCACCTGGCTAACTCCAGCTCAACCTTCACCATACAGCTGGGACATCACTTCCCTCAGGAAGCCTTCCTTAACTTCCCAATCCTGCAGGTCAGATCCGGTGTCCAGGTCTGCGTTCTCCAACTTTCTTCCTTGAGGATGGCATTATTTCCACCTTGTGGGGCCAGCTGGGCACAGCCACAGTTGAGGTCACAACAGGGCTCTGGGACAGAACTGATTTCACTTATTGAACAGACCCTTGGAAGAGCTGGGTCCAATGACCTGTCCCTGCCCACACCCACTCCGTGCGGAAATACTGGAGGGTTCCAGAGCTGCTCAGAGCTGAGAGAGCACTTCCCCCCTAACACGACCCCCCACACCACCCTGCCCACTTGGCCCAACATCACCTTCCAAAGCATGGGTGGGGAGAAGGCATGAGCTCCACATGGACCACCCCTGTGACCAGGTTGAGGGGGCCGGGGGGGTTGGGGTGGAGATACACTTGGGAGGATGCATCTGGACATTCACTTAGACTGGGGGAAGGAGGTCTCAGGGGTCCAGTTCCAAGGGTCTTTTGAACCCCTACCTAGTTCTTCCCCAATGGACATAGCCCTTGCCTTTTTATGTGTTCATGCCTCAGGTTATTCTGCTCTGATCCCCTACACCATTCTGTGCTGGGCTCTGCCAGTCAGTGAAGATACCAAAGCCCTGCCTTGGGGAGATCACGCTAGGGAAGGGTTGGTGGCGGGCTGAGGGGTCCCACCCTCCCCACAGCTCAGGCCCCACTTCCCCATTCCCACCCCTTCCATCCTTGGGCATCGTTCTGGGCTGCTTCAGGTGAGGATTGAAGATGGGCAGGAGGAAGTGTTTCCTTATTGATCAAGGGGGGGCCCCAGGCCCAAGTTATGAGTTATGTGCTGATAACGCTGCTGAGGGAATGGAGAAGGGGCAGCGAGCAGGCGGGGTGGGGGGCGGAGAGGAGGGAAGTGCAAGGGGGGTACTTCCCTCAGGCTGGAGGAAGCACAGTCTTCATGACTGGCCAGCAGTTATGAGTGGAGGCCTGTTGCACCATGGCCAGGGGCTTGGTCCCTGTGCAGAGCACAGCAGCGGGTAGGGGCTCGGGTGGGGAGACAGAGGAGCCCTGGATACAAGTCCTGTCCGTCCAACCTCTCACCACAGGACTCGATGAGTCCCTTTCTCTGGAGGGCCTCAGCTTTCCCATCTGTACGATGACATGGTCTCTGCCACTTTTGGTTTGGTTTTGCAATATTCACTGGGTACCTGTGGGCCTGGTCCTCTGGCCCGGGCTCTCGAGAGGAGGAAGTAGACAGGGACCACTCAGAGTGATGTGGGCTGTGATGGACGGAAGCCCTGGGGCTGGGGGAGCACGGCGAAGTCAGGGGAGGCTTCTGTGAGGAGGTGTCATCTGCACTGATCCTTGAAGAATGAGACTCTTCCCAGCTTGTCCTCTGCTCAGAAACCAGGACAGAAGCCTCATGGAGCAGAAGGCTCTGTGGAGGTCGGACCCTGCTCCACCCTGAGGGTGTAGGTGAGTGAGGAGGGGTGTGGAGGGCATAGCCACGTCTTCTGCATAGCCACACACACCTGGGCCAGGTCCTCCTTGCCCCAAACCCTGTGGGAACATGGGTCTTGATGTGGATCTCCAGGGAAAGCCTAATTGTTTTTCCATTAAATTTAAGCCACTAACAGTTTTTTAAAAGAGTTTATTTATTTGACACAGAGAGAGAGTGAGAGAGAGTACAAGCAGAGGGAAGGGTCAGAGGGAGAAGCAGACTCCCCGCTGAGCAGGGAGCCCGATGTGGAGCTTGATCGCCGGGGTCATGACCTGAGCCGAAGGCGGACACTTAACCGACTGAGCCCCCGAGGTGGGCAGAGAGGAACGGGAGGCCTCCAAGAGAACACAAGCCAAAGCTTGGAGGCTGGAATGTTTGAGATTGTTCGGGAGCAGTGAGAGGGCAGGGGCAAAGAGGAAAGGCTGGAGGTCTTGTCTGGAGTCAGATCACCGAAAGCTTTGAAGGGTGGAGTCACATACAAGAGTCTCAGGACGGGACTCAGCTCAGGAGCCACCTCCTCCTGGAAGCCCCTGGGTTGGTGCCTCACCTGGACTCCGTGTCATGGCGGTGACCATTTTGTCTGTCCAAGCCATGCTCCTGTCGGGTTCACTGCTGCCAAGAGCCTGTTCCTGAGGAGTTGCCCAGAGTTTTTGTGAACCTGAAAAAATCTGGTCCAGCCCCTCTACCTAGCCCGTGAGCTCTAGAGGCCCAGGGCCAGGCCTTAAGGGCTGAGGAATCCCATCTGTGGTTACTGTGGGCCTGTGGTTCATTTCTGTGGCCAGCCTGGAGCAAGAGACTGAGATATCTCTGGCCCCAAATTCCAGAGAAACCAGTCAGTAGATCAAAAAGGGAAGGACGCTGAGCTGCAGTCCAGAGAGAAAAATCCAGGTCAAAAACCTGATACAGGGGCCCCCTGTGGAACGTCCAGCGGTACCCCGCTTCAGGCCCTGCCCGACGCTGCCACGTGGAATCCATTTGCAAGAGCTTTGCCCAAGCGAATGCAGGGCTGGTGTCTGCAGGGCCCGGTTCACCTCTGGTTTGGACCCAGGAGGGCTGTGAGATCAGGGTAGCAGGCAGGGCAGGAGGGCAGGGTCTAGCCCCTTAGCCCCTACCTCAGCCCTCCCCAGTCCCCCGGGCCCCTGGCTTCAGCTTCTCCAGTGTTCTGCTCACCGTGGACAGGCTGCTGCGGGCTCCTGGGGGAGAGACCAGGACAGGGCCACCTGAGCAGACAGACTCTGGAGCAGAGCAACCCAGAGGGACCACGGGGGAGAGAGGGGCGTCCCAGGGGACAATTTCAGCTGAATTTAAAGAGGCACAGATGGTCAGAATGGCCCTTCAAGAGGACAGCAGCATGGTGGGGGCAGTTAGAGAGAGGACTCTGGGGCCAAATACCTGGTTTCAGGTCTGGCCCAACCACTTCCTAGTTGCCTTACTTAATCTCCCTGTGCCTCAGTTGCCCCACATATAAAGTGGGCCTAATTACCATTCCTTCCTTATGTGGTTGTTTTGAGAATGGAACAAACTAACATATGTAAAGTGTTTGGAGCAGGCTCTGGAAGGGGCCTTTTGCTGGGATTAGGCATCCTACCACCGGTGGCAGACGCTGTGGGCTGGGGCCATCTTTGAGAAACTCCTGCCCTAGAATTTTCTGGTGTGTGGAGATGGGAGAGGAGGAAGATGTTCCATTTCAGGCACCAGCTCTGAGAGTTGGATTCCGTCATTGGAGAAGAGGGTGAAAACGTAAACTCGGGCATGGGACCTAGGGACAGTCCCAGTGTCCATGGTGGGCATGATAGAGAAGGCCTGAAGTCAAACAAGGGGAGCCCGGCTCAGCTTGGAGCAAGAGGGGTTTTGACCAAACACATGGCAGAACCACCCGATATGCTGGCTCCCCGTGACTGGGGATGTCTCTTCTGCGTGTCCCTCAAGGCTTCTCCCAGGGTCTCACAGAGCTGCTCAGCCAAAGAGCGAAGATGGAAGATGGACTGGAATTTTTAAAACTTACCCTCTTTATTGCCATTGGCACTGGATCTTCCCTCCCCATGGTCTGGCCCTGGGTGGGGGTGGATTCTCAGGCTCCCTGCGGGATAAGACCGCCCCAAGCCCCATGGTTACTAAGCCATTCTCAGATCAAGTCTTACTTTGGGAAGGGAAGTCCTTCCTGCTGTCTCATCTCCATCCCTGCTGCTGTCTTTGCTCCACCACATTCCTTGAGGTGACCCACATGATTAGGGAGTGGAGTTGGAAGAAACGGGCCCTTGAAGGGGAGGAGGGTGGACTTTTTAAGGAGGTGGGCATCATGGGGAGAACTAGGAATATGTAAAGCCCTCCAGGATTGATGGAGATGGTAGCATGTATGTGGGGGGCAGAGATGAGTAAAGGAGCTATACAGGGGTCCTGAGGTCTTAGGAGTGGTAGGGGGTGTTTATGGGGGTTCAAGGAATGAAATGGGCTTATCTGGAGATCTTGGAGGCTTTGGGGGAGTTGGAAACTCTCTCGGGGGGAGATGGGAGTTCTGGGCGCTCTGAGCTGGCTGAGGCACACTTGTAGCAACAGGCTGGAGTCGGCTGCACAGTAGTCATGGCAACGCCAGCAGACCGCACCTTGTGCGCATGCACACACACACACACACACACACACACAGCCAGGAGCAGTCACACACATGGGCTCGGCTCCACCACACAGTGTGCCACAGACTTACACACAATGGGTCTCACCCAGCAGTCCCTGGAAGAGGGCTCTGCTGGGGGCTGGGGGGAGGACTCACCTATGGTGGGCAGAATGTGGTCCAGGTTGAACCGAGTCTTTAGGAACGGGTAGGCCAAGATGAGGAGCCCTGAGAAGAGAGACACAGAGGGGTTCTGTGATGGGGAAGGGGCCTGGTTAGTGCAGGCTGCATGAAGCTGTGGGTAGGCTGTGAGCCTGGGGATGTTTTCTGAGGGGGATATGCGTGTGCATGGGAGGAATATGAGTGTGTAGGTTGGGACTGTGGGTGCGTAAATGTGAGCCTGTGAGTGTTGGGAGGGGGCGGCTCCCCAACACCCAGCTCTAAGGCGGGGGCAGGGAGTTGTGCCTATCTGGGGAAGGGGCTCCAGGCTGTGAAGGCCCAGGCTCCTACCTCTAGCCCCACCAGGTGATTAGCATGGTTGGCTTCCTTCCTTCTCAGCCAGCTGGAAATGGGCCCAGCTGACATCACCACCAACTCTCCTTTGCCCCGCCCTCCCCTAGGGCAGGACTGGGTGCTCCTGAGCAGGCTTCTTCCCACCCAGACCTGGGGAGGGCTTTAGCAGAAGAGTGGACGGTGCCCTACCCACCCCCATTTCATCCCCAGACCAAGTGTCTGTGGCCTTTGGCAGGAGTTTGCAGGTCTGGATGCCAAGAACCCACCAACCTGGTGCTTCTGGCTCTGCTTTTGCCCCAGTGTGGTGGAGTGGGGAAGGGATGGTACTCAGCATCATTGTGGGGATATCAGTGGGACTGGCCCAGATAGACAGATGGTCAGATGCCTGGAAAGATAGACAGATGCCCTGCCAAGGTATACCAGGAAGGTTGGATCTTATCTTGGTTCACAGAGTGCCCGTTGGGACCTCTGAACTCTTTTACCTGCCCCCTGTCAACCCACCCCCAATAGGCTGATGAATTCCACCAAAAACCCAAGGGCCCAGAGCTTGGAACTAGAGGGCCAGAGGGGGAGCAGCCAAAGAGGAGTGTGGCAGCCGGCTCCCTTCTCCACAGTGTCCTTATCCCTGGAAGAAGGAACCTCACGCCAAGACTCCTCTGCCTCCCCGCGCCCCGACAGCTGCCTTGCTCACACCTCCCCAACCAATTCCTGTTGAACCAGCCCTTCCCCCCATTTCTCATTCACCGGACCATGCCCCTGCTCCCTCTCTGAGCCCGGCACCTGCTCACCCAGACCAGCAGCGCCAATGAAGATGCCACCGACGGCAGCTGCAGCTTTGGACACGGACACACCGATGATGATGCTGCCGGCCACCAGGCCGAGGGCCACCCAGGCCAGCTGTAGGCAGCGGAAGTCTCCGCTGCTGATGGGGATGTCCATGCAGGTCTACCCAAGGTACTGTCTGCAGCCGGTGGGGCCTGTCCCCAGGAAGGCCCTGGAGGGCTCGGTCCTCTTGGATGTATCTTTGTTGGAGCTCCACCTTCAGAGTGGGAATTTCTGGGCAGGAAGATTCGGGGCTAGTAACCCTATCCCACAGCCCCCCTAGGGGCCCCCAGCCGCACCTTGACCTAGAATCCCTGCCAGGTCATGCCAGCCTACTCCTCCTCCCGTGAAGGCCCCTGAATCTGGAGGCCACTCTTGGGACTCTTGTCTGATCACATCCTGCCTTGGCTGGGGAGCCTTCCTGCCCCACCGGGTCCCCCCCCGTTAGCTTCCTCTCAGGAGGGCTTAGCCTGAGCTGCCCTGCCCAGGACGTCCCGCCCTTGCTGTCTGGAGCCTGCTCTGCGGCCACTGGGCCTTGGCCTATTAAAGTTTAAAGCAGTGGAGGAGGTTGGTCCAGGGGCCACGGGTTCCTCGGAGATGCAGGCAGCTGGGAGGTCCTGAGTTATTCATGAGTTTGCAATGTGAGCTGCTGCTTGCCCCAGAGGCCCGCTGGGGCTTTCAGCCCAGGTTCCGCTGCTGGTTCCTGAGGGGGCAGGATAGACTGGTGGCTTCCCGTGTGGCTTAGCAGCCAGGGATGTGAGGAGATTCCCTGGCTGCATGCTCAGGGCCCACTCTGCGCTCTTCTGCCATTTGGCTCATGAGGCTTCTGCTAGGGACTCAGAGGTGGGCATGGGAGGGGACCTGGACGAGGCTCAGTGACTGGAACAGGAGGAGAGAAAGAGGTATTCCACTGAGTTCATGCTCTTCCCCTTGCCCCTCCGCCAGCCTGTCAACCTCCGGTCTCCAAGGGGGAGCAGGGCTGAGGGGTCCTGGTTTGAGGCTGATTTCAGGGGACCTCCTTCTCCTCGGGTAGGCTTGGTATCCACCCCCTTAGTTGCCAGTGGGATGAAAGGGCGAGCCCCCAGCCCTCCTGGGATCCCTGGCAGGGGCTGAGAAGGAAGAGCAGGGAGCAGATGGGTGGGGGGAGGAGATGGGGTAGGAGGAAAACAAATACGGGGAGAAGGATTGGCAGGGACTGGGTGCCAGTGGCTAGGGGACATGGCTAGCACCTCCTAACGTACTTGCAGGACCCACCAATTCAAGGCTGGGCAGTGGTAGCCCAGCCCAGCCCTATCCCACCCCCAGACCCGGCCCTCGCCACCTACTGCATTCTCTGGCCCTTGATGGATCAGGGCCTCCCTGATCCCCGAATCTGGACCTGGTCCTATGCCTGCACCTAGGCACCTGGGCCCTCTTCCCAGGGTCCCATCACCAGCCCCACTGGCCTCTGTTTGCGTGCCTCTGTCTCCCCACGATGTCTGCCACCCAACATAGCCAGGCCACGGCCCTCCGCCTCCACAGGGACCCCTGCCCCTCGCTTCGCCCCTTCTCTGCCACCGCCCTTCTGCTGAGTGTCTGCTCGGTCAGCCCCAAGTCTGTAAAGCCACTCCTGATGTTGCCTGAGTGGGTGGGCTACCTACCACTGCTCCCCCATCATCTGTCCTGTTCTCTGTCTCCTCTGTAGACTGTGAGCCCCTCACGGGCCGGTTCAGGGAGTGAGCCCCACAGAATGGCCCGAGAGGACCTGGCTTCTGAACACAAGGCAGAGCTCAGGGAGGGCCTGGGCCCGCAGGACGACCTCAGGTCAGCATGGAGGAGGGCCATGGGCCCCGTGGGACCTCCGTCTCTAACAAGGGGCTTTCCTTGGGCAGGGGTGGGGGCCTGAGAAGGCCAGGGTCACTGGACTGAGCTTCAGCAGAGGGAAGGCACTGATGGGAGGCTGGAGAGGGGCCTGGGTAAGGACAGGTGTGAACTCAAAGGTACATAGAGAGGAGGGGGACTGCAGAGCACCAGTGGGGTCCCCTGGCTGTATTCTGGGCCCCCATAAGAGGAAGCCCCCGGAGGTGGGCATTCCCCAGCTACAGCAGCTGTGGCCAACGTCCCCTGTGCCGCTCTCCAGGATGAGGTCTGATTATTCCTCTAATTAGGCATCAAATGACAGCCCATGTCTCTGTCACACGTAATTGATCCCCCACTGACTAGTTTTAGAAGGAGCTGTCAAAATAATTGTCTATGACAATGTGTTCCTGAGATGTTGAGCTCTGGGAATCTCAACACCTCACCCCCAGTAAGTGTTTGCATAACTAGCTGGGCAGGGGCGTGAGGCTGAAGGCGGCCCCACACCGTCAGCAGGACAGGGCACCGCACACTGTGGGACCTGGGCCAGCCGCTCACCTCCTGAACCTCACTTTGCCCATCTGGTGAAGGGGGATGTCGATGGCAGAGGCTGGAGGCAAGGAGGCCTGTGCATTGTGAGTTTCAGATCCCAGAAGAACACTCTAACCTCTAAAAACAAGACCAAATTCGAAATTAAAGGGTTTTGTTTTGGTTTTGTTTTGTTTTGTTTGACCTTGTAAATCCCTCAGGGCCCAGAGACATAGGAGGAAATATGGAGCAGAGACACAGTAAACCATTATCAGTTACAAGATCACAGAACTACAAACCCATCCAAGATCCTTATGGAATAGATGGGGAAACTGAGACACGGGGAGTGGAAGGAGGCCCCAGAGTCCTTGAGAGAACCTCAGTGCCCAGATTCTGTGCTCAGCTGGGAAGTACTCTAGCATTTCTCTGTCCCTGAATTTCTAACTTGTCCTATTTGAGGTGGGAGGGATTGGCAACCCTACAGTCAGAGGGAGACACTGTGTTCAGTCAAGGCCTCCATTTTTTCCCTCTTGACAGGGGAGTGTCATTAAAGGCTACTTGAAACCTTTGTGATGCCTGCTCTCCTGTTGATTGGAAATGTAGAGAGGGAGGCTTGCTTATTCTTTCCTCAATACAGGCTGTTTCATCTGTGAGAAAGAAAACACAAGCCTATCCTTGGGTGACGTGCCTCCTATCATAGGTAAAGGAGGTGGAAGCCCGAGTCACTAGAGGATGATTGCCCCGCCTGTTCCCCACCTCGCAAGCCTCGGAGCCCTCCTCGCTGAAGCCTGGGTCCCCGAGGCCTCTGGATCCGGGACGGCGTGTGGGGGGTGCATAGGCCCCAGGTCACAGCTGCTTTCCTCCACAAAACCTCTGTTTCGCGGCGAGGCCCGGGCCAGAGCGCACGCCTATGCTCTTTCCTCCCCAGAGGTGCCGAGGCCAAGGCTGGCATGGGCTGGGGAGGAGGAAGGGGTGAGAAGGCCTCAGTGTGGTTTAGTTCCGTTTATTTTCCTTGAGGGGTGAGGACCCTGGAAAAGAGCGTGATTAATGCCCTGGTCCCCTGGGGGACGGGCGCTTTCCCAGGCTGTTCAGAAGCTGAACTCGGGGAAGTGGCTTCCAAGGCAACTGCTACCATGGCAACAAGAGTGCCAGCTGAGGGGGGACCCGGCTCCTGGCTCCAGGGAGCTGGCACGGGACCAGGGCACTGCTGTTCGGGAGCGGGGTCTGGTGAGAGGCATTCGGCCGGCAGGGAGAAGCGGCCCCCAGGGGCTCAGGCGGGTGGACATCTGGAGGGAGAAAGGCTTGGCCGCTGTGCCCAGGCCCCCAGACAGGGGTTAGACAGGAGTCCTGCTAACTGGGTTAGAGGCAGGAGGCCTGAGGTCTGGAACACGCCGGCTGGCCGGGACCAGCTTTCTCCTAAGGCCCGGTCCACACCTGAGCCCTAGAGCCAGGGGACTGGCCGCCACAGTTCCAGGCCCCAGAGCCTCCCTCAGTGTGTCTGCCATACCTACCCCTGCCTAGTAGAGCCAGGCACATGGCCCAGGCCTCAAAAAGGGCAGGGGACTTCCCAAGGTCACCCAGTGAAGAGTGGCAGGACTAGAACCCAGGCCCCCCGATCCCCAAACGCAGACTCTGCCCTGGCACTACAGCCAAGGGGCCTTGGGGACAGGGACCCCCAGCCCAGAGGGGCAGAGCACCCTGTCGGCAGGAGAACCCCACAAAGGGCCAGAGGCCAGGCCCATCTGGAAAGCGCAGATCCATCTCCACCCACACACGCCAAGGAAAGTGGGGGAAACTGGTCTCCGTCACTGGCTCCGAGTAAAGGGATTGTGCCCTGTGCTGAGGCACGGCAGTAAGAAGGACCACAACCGCCACAGCCAACCCTGGACCACACACTGGCTGTGCGCGCCTGGAACTGCTCCAACCACTCTACATTTAATCCCTCATTTCACAACAGGACCATGAGGTAAGCCCTAGCAGCCCCAATTTTTGGTTGAAGGAACTGCCGCCCTCAGAGACTGAGTCACTTGCCCAGGGCTCAAAGCTAGTTAAGTGGCAGAGCTGGGATCGGAAGCCGGGCAGCATGGCTCTACATCCCACGTCTCTCCGGGACGAATCCCGGTTCTGTCTTCCTACCTGTACCTCAAGGTCTTTCTCTCTTTTCTCTGCTCAGTTCTAAGTGGGGTGACATAATGGTACCTCACTCACCTCACATGACGGCTCTGAAAATTAAAGGAGATAATGCCTGGACATTTCTCTGCCAGTGGCTGTTGCTTAGCGCACGACAACGCTAACAAAACCGAAGGAGGCGCTGTAGCATTGAAGCGGAGCCGAGGACGAGAGCAGCCTCGCCAGGTGGACCAGGGCGGGGAGGCGGGCTGGCAGAGGGCAGCGCCTGAGCAAAGGCACAGAGGCCTGAGAGCTGGCTAGAACTCTACCCAGAACAAGCCCAGGAAGCCCCTGGAAATCACCTCTCAGTTGGCCAACCCGAAGGACTGATGGGCTGGGGCTGGAGTCGAGACAAAACTCATACCCTGGTTCCGAGTCCCCAGGGACTGGGGAGACTTTGGGCCAGAAGGCTTAGGTTCTGCAGGCCTGTTTTTCCAGCCCATCTGCCTCCAGCGAGAAGTTGCTGCAAAGGGAAGACTGTCAACAGAAAGGATGTCAGCGTCAAGACGGAGGCACTGATGCTGCCGGACAGCCCCTAGAGTGAGGAGCCACTGACCCCATCTCCCCTCTCCCCAGGGAGAGGAGCTGCCGGCAGCACCTTGTCTGCTGCCCTGGCCTTCAGACCTCCCTCCCGCTCCAGCTTGGGAACTTCTAAAGCCCCTTCCCACCCCAGCCCTCTCCAGTGTGGTTCTGAGGGTGACACAGGACAAAGCACACAAAGCCCTTTGCATGGGGAACACGAGAGCTGCGGACGTGAGGCCCATTTTTCTTTGTTCTAACTCTGACAAGTCCTGGGCACACAACAGATCCTCAAGAAAGGCTTAGTGCTGCTCCAGACTGAGGGGACCTTCATTCCTGCTTGGGCGTGTGGCTGGCCTGGGCACAGGGCACACCTATTAAGGCATTTTTTGAAGCTGGTTTGTGTGATGGTTGCTGATGCCTCGTCTTCCACCTGATAGGGAGACCCTACAGGACAGAGGCTGTTTCTCACTCCTCTCTGGGTCCTGGCACAGGAGACTGACCAATGTTTTGGAACTTCATTTCCTCACCTAAAAAAGAAAAGCAATGATCTCTCCTTCACCTTGTTTTGTGGATCCAGTGAGGGGCTAGATTTTAGAGGTCCCAGTTAGGGACACCTTCTCCCCACTGGGTTGGACTCGGCCCCGCTCCAGAAGGCCTGTCTCCCTCTCAGGTTCACAGGGGAGGAAAGGACCACCAGAAAGGCCACAGCTAGAATTTAAAACAGTTTTATTAAAACAAGCACATTGTATAATAGCACTGTCGTGTTGTGTGTCTGTCTGACTTGTACAGATCCATTTTCTTTAGGCAGCTGGGCAGCTCGGCTTCTCGGGGGACCAGATGCACCCTCAGGCTCTCTGGCAGCAGGCGGCACATGGCTCGGACCAGGGCTGCCTGCGATCTGGTGCTACATCGGGCACGGAGCCCCTTCTAACTGCCCTGGACTGGTGCTGCCCTCCAGCAGACACAGCCTCTTAAGTCACTCTTCATCTTAACAGCTTAAAACCAGTTAGAATGATAGGAAATAGCTGAATAAAACCTTCCACATGCATGGACATTCAAGGACGAGCACGCCATGACATGTTCTGGAAAATCCACCGGCTTGCAGTGGGAGTTTAAAGTCCCATCTTTGCTGGAAGTGCATGGTTAAAAAAAAACAAATATTTTTTTAAACGAAATAATACGGACTTCAGCAGCAATCTCAAACAAGGAAGAGGATGATAAATGAGGGACACGTTTTGGTCCCGGCAAAGAAAGATTATGTGCTTCTCCCGCACCACAGACTGGAAGACTGATCTGGCCTCCTGAACGCGGAAGGCTGCCTGCCCTTTCCTGAATTGAGGGGATGGCTTCGCTCAGCCGAGGGGAGGACATCCGGAGGACAAAGGAAGGACCAGCGGGGGGGGGGGGGGGGGGCGGTGACAGTGTAGGGAGAGGAAAGAGCCTCTGTCTACTGCCGCTTCTCAAGCCTGGCTCCCAGAAGGCTGCAGCCCCAACCCGCTGCCGCCCGCCCGCCCAGGAGAGCAGGCGGATCCTGGATCTGCAGGCGGGTGAGCAGGTGGGCGGGAGCCCAGCAGAGATGTCCCTGCCGCAGGCGATTATGCAAAGTGACAAGTGATTGCTTTCCTTTTCAAAGACAACTCCTTCGGATGGAGCTTTTTCCTTGAAGACTCCGGGGAGATGGGGGGTTGGGTGGGAACCTCAGGGCCTTGGCTGGGACGGGGGCCACGGAGCAGCTTCCTCTGCGTGCTCTGCAGACTTTTGCCACGCCCAGGCGGGCCGAGGTCCGGGAAGCCGTGGCCGGAGCAGGTCAGAGTGCGGCGGGAGTTGGGCACGGTTCCGGGTCGCCGCTGCGGCCTGCCTGGGCCAGGGCCCTCCGGCGGGCCAGGCGTGACTTGCAGGGAGGGGAAAGCCTCACAGAGCAGAGGCCCTCGACCAGCGACTCGGACTCCTCTGCCAGCTCGTCTTCCTCGCGCTGAGAAAGCTGGCGGTTAAGGGCGATGGCCTCAGCCGCAAAGAGTGTCAGGTCCATCGTGCTGCTATTTCTACAAGGGCGGGCAGCACAGAGCAGAGGGAAGCGGGGCTCAGCGCCCTGGCCAGCCCGCTCCCGCACCCCTGGAGGCTTTCTCTGGGCAGCTCCTCTCCCCACTTCCCCAAAAGTCGTTCTTGCCCAGGTTTGCAATCTGATTTCACTGAGGCTGGAATGGCTTTGAGCCTCAACTACAGTCCTTGGACTTAGGAGTTGGGACAAATGTCCCCTTCTCTTCAGAGCACCCTCCTCTGTGCTCCCATGCTCTGCACCCAGCTCTCCCTGAGGAAGGGCCTGGCACATGAAGCGCACACCCATGTATCCCCCTCCCCTGTCAGGGTGGGGCGCTCCAAGAGCAGGGGCTGTGCCTTTGTGTCTGTATCCCTGGGGCCCAGCCCAGGGCTAGCATATAGCAGGCACTGTGGGTTTGCCGGATACATCTTCTAAGGCGGACCAGAGGTTTGGAACCTCAAGGCACCTGGACGCAGCTCTGGAGAATCAGGCTGCCTCACTCCAATGGCAATTACGGTGATGTAAGACTTCCCCGTGTAACTCCCAGCACCTGGTCATGAGGTGGCTCCCTGGAGGGGTTCCCACAGTGTGGTAGCCCTGGCCCTTTGGGAATAGGGCAGTGCTCACTAGGAACACGGTTAGTGTTAAAAGGCATTGGAGTCAAACAGATCCAGGTTCAAAGTCCAACTACCCAAGGCACCTGTGTGGCCCTGCGTGAGTTACCTCAATCTCTATTCTTGGTTTTCTCATCCATAAAATGGGGTAATAGGAACACCTCTCTTTTAAATTTATCATAAAGATTATGAATAGAATCTCTGTAAAGCCCTTAGCACCATATCCTGCACGTGGTATGCATTTACTATAGCGCGGCCATTACTATTACTGTGTCTAGTGGTGACAGGACAACTGGTCCTACTGCCTCACAGTGCCCCCTCCTGCTACTGTCACCAACCCGCAGCTGCAGGAGGGAACCTTGGGGTGAATAACCTACAGATAAGGTCTTTGGGCTATAAATGGTGATTTCTAGTTAGATGCAAGCAGACATGGTAACAGTTTTTTCTCCTGCAAACAGCACCTGAGGGGCCTTGAAGGAGCTGGAGGGCAGGGGAGGCCGTCAGGTGGCAGCAGAAAAGAGGGGAAAGATGGGAGGAGCCCTGTGGAGAAGGCAGGCCAGGGAGCCCCTTCATGAGGATGACACCTAGGCTCCCTACCCCACCTCCACCCCAACGTGGCTGAGAGTTTGAGGGAAAGTCAAAGCCAAAGAAAGAAGGGCATCAGGTGTGGTTGGAGCATTTACCTCTGGAGGACTTGCGGCGTGGGGAGTCCCCTTTCTGGAGCTTGCTAGAATGGGAAGGATAGACGTGGGGGTAAGCACTGCTCCCTCCTTCAAGAGCTGCCCGACCCACACCAGTGCAGAGTGGGTAAGCTACTAGAGACTCCTGGCCCAGCATAGACACTTGGCCGAGCTTGCCTGTAGGGTCAGACCTTCCAAGGAGAGAGCAAGAAAGGACAGCTTGAACCCAGCTGATTCTGCATGGAGATTCACTCCCTTTGCCCGGCAAAGTCTTCTTTATCCTCCAAGACCCAGCTCGAGGGTCACTTCCCCTGAGAAGCATTCATTCTCCCACCCCTGCCACCTCCCTACCCCTGTCCAAGCAGAGGTGGACCCTCATCCTTTTGTAACCCTAGCACTTTTGATAAGCGTTTGTTACACGATCCCATAATTTATTCCCTTGTCTCCCCCTCTCCACTAAAGTAAGAAGACAGGGATTGGGTCTTACTCATCCCAGTATCACCAGAGTCTGGCATGGGGTAGGTGCTCAGTAAAGCTAGCAACTCTTGCGTGGCTAGGAATCAGCCACTCAGAGATTCTTAGATTGGGTCCCCCCTGTAACATGGGGCTGGCAATGTTTGTTTCCTTCCACTGGAAGGGCCACTGAGGCTGGCTAGGGCCTGGCAGACCAATGACACAGTAAATCACAGGAGGTCTGGCAGACCCCTTGGAGGGGCAGAAGTCAGGTAACATGCCTAACTGAGGAGGATGGTTAAAAATGTTTTCTGGTAAAGACCTGGATCCTTTGGGGAAAACACCGCCATTTGCCTTTTAGGCAAGCTGCACCCCAGGACCACGAGGAGAACCTTTGTGCCCCGAATGCATCCTCACTGCAAGCAGGGAAGCAAGGCCCTGCTTCTGGCGTTCTCAGCTCATGACATGTCTGTCTAAGGGGAGGGTGCCACAGGCCCCAAATGCCAATACCAGGCTGCTTCCAAGACTGTGTGCCTCTGCCAATGGAAGGATGCGTGTGTCAAATCCCCCAGAGGCCTCTGCTCATTCCTGAGAGGCAAGGGTCAGTTAGGAGCCTAGTCCGGGGCAAAGGTTAGAGCCAAGTCTATGACCAGTAAGGGGCTCCTTCTGGGGCTACGTCAGTGGCCACTTCACTCCACATGGGCAGGGACTGAAGCAGGTCTCGCTCCAGCTGAGGTCAGCCACCTGGGCTGCTGTCCAGTACTTGCTACTCTAAAAGCTTCCTCACAGCCACGCTACAGGCCTCAGGAGGTGGACTGCCGCCCCTCCCCGGGTTACTCACCCCCTGCACCCAAGGGTGCTGCAGAACTTGGGCAGCACTCAGTCTCTGCTTTGCATCTCGAACCAGGAGCTTGGAGATGAGGTCTTTGGCCTCGCTGGAGATGTGTGCCCAGTCCTTGTCAGGAAACTCATACTTGCCTTCTTGGATGCTCTCAAACAGCTTGTTCTAGGTAAAGAAGATTCCTCCTGACACCACGCTACCAGGGAATAAGTGGAATGTGCCTGCCATTGATTTGGTCACCCTGGGTCCCCTTGGCTTTAGCTGAAGCTGCGGCTCATGGCTTGGAGATGCTACAGGCTAGGGCCCTCCCTGGCCCCCCATCCCCGCTAAGTCATCAGACCACACAGAATGCCCCTGTCGGACAGAGATGGCTAGGCTACTTGGAGGGCTGCATGGGTCACACTTGGGGAATGCCAACTAGGGAACACAGCCCAAATTCCTCGGCCCTTCATACGGGGCCCCCACAAATGGGCCCCTGGCAATCTGTCAGGTTACAGCTCCCCGCACTGCCAAGCTTACACTTCTACTCTTCTTTCCCATACACATGCAGCTGTCTCACCTCCATGTCTTGGCTGGTTCTGCCACTCCTGCTTCTATTTCTTGGGCAAGACTCATGTTTGAAGGCTCAGCTCAGGTATGGTTTGCTCTAACAACTCTCCCCTGAACTCCCAGCTAAGCCTGTCTCTCTCTCACCCTGTCGCTGGCCCTTGGACAGAGGGGAAAGGGGCACCAGAGACCCCCTTCTGGAGCAGGAACACCTCCCAGCCCAGTCCTGTTGGGCATCCCCCAACCATGCTGACCCCCTGGCAGGCCCCGTGCAGCAGATCCCCGAGCTGTACTTACCTGGCACACCCTGCAGACCTCTCCCCTGTCCCAGCCACAGTCGGTCCCACAGTGACCTACGAAGGGGGGGTAGCCGCTCAGCATGATGTAGAGGACCACGCCCAGGCTCCACAGGTCACAGCGCTTGTCGTAAAAGGTGGCCTCATCCCTGAAGACCTCCACCACCTCCGGGGCCATGTATTCTGCAGAGCCACACTGTGGGGGCCAAGGTTGGGAGGGGAAATGGCAGAGAAGAGAGAGGTTTAGTCACAGGGAGAGGAGATGGCAAAGAGTAGAATGTCATGGGACTTGAGCAGGAGCATGGGGCCGAAGAGCAAGGAGTTGCCAGGAAAGCCGGCCAGAGGGCTCACCTGATACCACCAAGGCACCTGGAAAAGCTGGGCTAACTGAGCATTTGTATATGGAGTCCTAGTGTTCCCCATGATCCACATGACCAGTTCCAGGTCACCTTCCCATCTTTCCAGGTCCTTCTCCAGTAGGCAGAGGCTCCTGGTCAAGAAGCTGCTCAGCTCTCTGCAGACAGTCACTTAATGTACAGGTACTTCAATGTACCAGGGGCACGGGTCCAGGAGGGGGTCTGTGGACATCCAGTCCCATAAAGTGAGTAGTTCTTTTTTTTTTTCTTTCTTTTTCTTCTTCTTCATTTTTTTTTAAAAATTGTAAGTAGGCTCCATGCTCAGCACAGGGCTTAAACTCACGACCCTGAGATCAAGATCTGAGCTGAGATCAAGAGTTGGACACTTAACTGACTGAGCCACCCAGGCGCCCCCATAAGACAAGGAATTCTTAAAGTGAAGTCCCTGCCAAGCTTCTCTGCCAGCTTAGACCAAGGAGGTATAAGAATTCAGAATTAAGAGTCCATCCAAGCTGGGAGAGCTCTTAGAACAAATCCAATCTCCCTGCTTTTCCCATTTATAGATGGGAAAACGGAGGACGAGAAGGGGGCAGGGATTTGGTTTCAAATCCCAGTACAAGAATTTGGGATTCTTTCCTTCCATCCTTGCATATAAGATGCTGATAAAAACAAAACAAATTCTTTTTGCTCCCCTCTTCCTTACTGCAGCCTTGCCAAGAGATGCCTCCCTGGCCCCCAACACACACAACTAATTAGATGGGAAGATAGGAAGTGGAGAAAGGACATTTTCCATATTATTGGCAATTAGAGTTAATGACTTTGAGAACAAGGTAGCTCAGCGTAGTAGAAGCTAATACAGAAACATTTCTAATAATGTCAATTAGAATAAGACACAAGCACATTGAAATGCATGTCTTAAAAAAGGTTATTAGGAAAAATCACTTATGAAACATGCAAATCTCAAAAGACTCATAATAATTATAGTACATTGGGTATGTACAAGAGATGTCTAAGGAAGAACAGCTCCCAGCTGCACATCTGGGCATGAAATGTGAAGTGAAGGAAGCAACAGGATAACTCAGGCAAGTGATCCTACATGCGGAGAGCTGGGACCTCTCAGTTCTGGCCACAGAGAGACCACATTGCCCCTCCTCCATCACAGGGGGACGTGCTGAGACGCTGCCAGGGAGAGTGGGACTCAGAGCTATCGTGTGCTCAGGTGCAAAGGGCTGGCCTGGGCTAGTGTCTGTCTTTACCTGGGTCAGGAGTCAGCGCTCAGCCTGTTCCCACAAATACATTTTGTCTCATCATTGGCAGAGGACCTGCCCCAAACAAAAAGCTCCCATGTCAGTTTCATTAGCAACTAAACCCTGACGGGGTGGGTGGGGGTGGCTCACAAAGTGGCCAAATGACAACTCAGGCAGAAACACTCGGTTTTCCTTCCTTAGCTCTCTGTTCTGGACTCCAGCTTTGGGTTAGGGGTACTCCAAGGGTACAGGAGTCCTGAAGGAGGTGGTACAGGGTGCCCAGCCATACATACTGGAGTGGTCAGCTCTGGTGTGGTTATGGGGGTGCAGGAATTGTTTAACTTCACCCCACTGCCCAAGTCAAAGTCACAGATTTTCACCGGAGACACCTGAAAAGGAAAGCAAAAAGCAAAGGTTACAAATATAAGAAAACCAAGGGCACCAGGAGACCAATGTGACTATGACACAGTCACTCACCCTCCCTCACTCCTTCCCCTCTCACTCGCTGGCTCTAACTATTGCACACACTCTTTCTCTCTCTATGGCTGCCATGCCAAAGTCCAGCTTTTTCTGTCACATCATGTTTATTCTTCTTGGGTTAGAAATCACCTGATTTCTAGAAATCACCTGAGAATTTATCCTAAGGTGTCTTCTGCCCCACACTCTTTCCTCACTTCCTAAGAGAAAATGTGCATGCTACGTGGTGTCAGGCTGCTGTGCACTTAGTAAAACGAGTAGCAAACCTACAGAAGGAACTCTTGCCCACAAATGACAAATGATGGTGTAGTCTGCAGAATCAGAGAAGTAAATATGTATTCCTGAAAGACTCTTTGCAGCCCATTCAGTGGAGGGTACCACCTCAGGTGGCTTGGGGTGACCAATTCATCTTTGCTTGCTTGGGACTTTGTTGGTTGCAGTACTGAAAGCTGTGTATCCTGGGAAACCCCTCAGGCCCGAGCAAACTGGGAGGGCTGGTCACCCAAACTGGATGTTGCCCCTGAAACCACAGACAGCGTGAGTCATCTCTGGAGCTGACCAGGAGGGCACCTCGAGTGCATGCAGAATGGCCTGCATGGTGGAAGCAGCACAGTGAGCCTCTCAGGCTGGTTGTGGGAGTCCCAGCTCAGCCACTGACCTGCTGGGGAAGCCGTAAGTCTCTCAACTTTCCTTCCTCCCTTCCTTTCTTTCCTCTCCCCTCCCTTCCTCCTCCTTCTCTCTTATACCCTTCTTTGTCACTTAACCTCTTTTTTTTTATTGTGATAAAACATATATAAAATAAAATAATCCACTTGAGTCATTTTTGAATGTATAATTCAGTGGCACTAATTATGGCCACACTGTTGTACAACCATCTCCAGGATCTGTTTCCAAAACTTTTCCATCATCCCCAACAGAAACCATCAGGTAGAAACTCCCTATTCCCCCCTCTCCCCAGTAAATACCTCATCTACTTTCTGTCTGTATGAATGTGGCTATTTCAGATGTTTCATTAGCTGGAATTGCACAATATCGGTCTTGTGTCTGGCTTACTTCACTTAGCATACTGCTTTCAAGGTTCGTCCAATGGTGTAGTGTGTATCAGAACTTCTACTGTTGGGGGGCTGAACAATATTCCATTGTATGGAGGGACCACATTTTGTTTTATCCATTTACCTACTGATGGACACTTGGGTTGTTTCCAGCTTTGGCTGTTGTGAATAATGCTCCAATGAACACTGATGTTCAAGTTCAAACCTCTGTATTCAATTCTTTTGGGTATATACATAGGTGTGGAATTGCTGAGTGGTGTGGTAATCCTGTTTAGCTTGGTGAGGAACTGCCACGCTGCTTTCCACCGCAGCCACACCATTCCATGGGTTCCAATTTCTCCACAGCCTCATCAGCATTTGCTCTTCTCTGGTTTTTTTCTTCTTTTTAAAATTCTAACCATCCTAGCAGCTGTGAGGTGGTGTCTATGTTTTGTTTTTTTTTTAAGATTTTATTTATTTATTTGAGAGAGAGAGAGGGAGCATGAGCGGGAGGAGGAGCAGACTCCCACTGAGCAGGGAGCCCCATGTGGGGCCTGATCCCAGGACTCTGGCATCATGACCTGAGCTAAAGGCAGATGCTTAACCAACTGAGCCACTCAGGTGTCCCTAATGGTGGTTTTGATCAATATTTCCCTAATGACCAAGGATGTTGAGCATCTTTTCATACGCTATTGGCCATCTGTGTACTTTTTTGGGGGAAATGTCTATTCAAGTTCTTTGCCCACTTTTAAAATTGGGTTGTCTTTTTGATGTTGAGTTTTAGAAGTTCTTTATATTTTGGATATTAAACCCTTATCATATATATGCTTTGCAAATATTTTCTCCCATTCTCGGCTTATCTTTTCATTTTCTGGATAATGTCTTTTGATGCTTGGGTTGCTCTTAGTTTTAGTTTTTCAACCATAGAAAAGGGGCAGTAATCCTGAACCATTAAGATCAAATGAAAGGACAAAAGCCATGAAAGCATATTGTGAACCGGAGGCAAGAGAGTAGATCAGAGTGTCTGTGGAGTTCTGGGGTCAGACTGACTACCTTAGTTTTAATCTATATACCCTACTACTTACCAGCTGAGTGACTTTGGGCAGGCTTCTTAATCTATCCGAGCTTCAGTTTCATCATCCATACAATGAGAATAGTAATAGTACCTACCTCATGAGAGTTTACAAATACTTAATAAGTATAAGTTCCTGGCACAACGTAAGCACTCAAGAAATGTTAACTATAATTATAATGATAATGGTGACAAATTATAAAGTCTTACGCCAGAGCCACTGACAGGAAATCACAAGATCTTATTTGAGGTAATGTATTACTACTCCCCACAAAAGAGCTGTAAGGAGCAGCTTACACTCACCACATTCTCTTGCAGCCGTTTCTGTTTATGGGCTATCCCTTAGTTCAGACCGACAATGTGTGTTCATACATACGCACCCGTATATGTACACAGAGAGTCATGAATGTGTGCCAGCAAAACCATCAGGGCCTCAATCCCTCCAAACAAACAGAGAATTTGTCAAATTCTTACATGCTTATGGAAGTGCAAACACTTCCATTTACTGGTAGGTTAAGGTAAATTTTCAAATAGGATGCATCTTTTCAACACCCAATCTACATGTTTGCTTTTTAATTTAAGGGCACCTTTAGAAATAAAAATGGAAATGGAAACCCTTTTCAGGAACTTGCTTCCTAATTAGTACTTCAAGTGGTGGGCACTAGCCGGCATATACCATAGCATAAACATCCTTTCTAGGCAAAGATTTGCTTCACAGAAGATTCAGTTGTTTATGACTCACACCAGCTGCTCTAAAGACAGGTGCACTGGGCTAGAAAACATTCATTTCGTGCAGAATTTTACAAACTCTCAGGTGTAAGCCAATCACACTGTTGATAAACAGCAAAGAAGAGACAGGGATTAACCCGATTTAGAATGCAGAAACACTACACCTTCGGTCTAACATTCTCATGTGTCCATAGTAATCAGTGCAGGTTGGTACCTGAGGCCGAGAGAACTGCTAACAACCCAACTGAAAACAGAGGTGGCTTCCCCACTTCAGTGTAAACTGTGACCCCCAACAAGTCAGCCCTAAGTACCTTTTCTGGAGACTCACACAGTATATTTTCCGGCTTCAGATCGCGATGAGCGATGCCTGAAATGACAAAGAGCAAAGAAATGGTTAACATATGCACATAATTATCAAACATTCCACACACAATTAATTTTTTCCAAATGCTGTTGTTCGCAGATTAATTTCCAATTATGGTACATTAAAAAAATCAACGAGCTGCAGGAGGCAGAAGTAACCAGAGACGAACCAAAAGCACAGTTGATTCTGCAAGTTCTTTTGAAGCTGAAGCTTTAGAAGTCGGGCAGGGATAAGAAGGGGGCTAAATGAATCCCAGCTAGCCTACCTCTCGGCACTGCAGTGACAACCAAGAATAAGAAGCCTAATATGAAGCAGAGCAAAGAGCCCTGCAAATGGCCATGCTTGGAACCGCAATGCAGAAATAATCATTGCCTTGTTTAAGAGCATCTCAGGGGGCTGAAGCTGCTCTACCTCATTTCTTCTTGTGTGGCCGACTTATAGAAAAAAATGATTCCCTAGGTGGGACTCCCTGCATGTTCAGAGGACCAAGTGTTAGTTAACAAATCTTCCAAAGCTTGTCCAATCTCCTTCTCACCTGCTCTGCAGGTCCAAGACAGTCCTGTCGGAAGCACAGCAAGGACTGCTTTAGCTTGAGGGTACCGTTCTTAAGAGACACCTCCCAACTCTGCATTTTGACCAGACTTCCTGAAGGAGATGCAGACAGCAGCTTACTCCATGAGGGGTTAAAAGCTGCTGACCTGGCCAAGAAGGCACGTGGGGAAAAACCACCTTCTGACCAAAGACAGGGACAGAGAACCAACTCATAGGGCGTGGTGGACACAGAAACTCCATCTCTCTTTCCTTCTGCAGAATGCACAATGCAGAGACAGAAGGGCTGGAAGGTTGAGCAAGAGCCAAACAGCTGGTGCTCAGAAGTACTGGAAAGTAGCAGAGGATTCACGGAGTCATAGGAAAAAGCGGAATCTGCTTTCCTAAAACTCCCTTGATGACCAACTTCTCAGGCCGCCCTCCGATTTCCTGCTAGGAGGCGGAGGCCCAGCCCACCCAAGGCACTTCACCAGGGAGGGAAAACCTGAGCTCCAACAGGCTAAGTAACTTCATCAGTCACCTAATTGAATGAGAACCCAGAGCAACTCAGTCCAGGCCGTACAAATTGAGTCAGGCTACAGCTTGCTGCGCTAAAAGTGAAAGATATTTTCCATTACAGCAAGTGCTCCCACAGAAGGATCACGAGCCACACATGGAGCCTCGCTCTCCAAATAGGTGCCAATGGCCCAGTCGTCCCCCAGCCTGAGAACTGAGCGCCATGTCGGAATAATGGGCCTGCCTCTGTGAGCACGCTGGCCATCGAGCTGCTTGGCTTCATTTCCCAGAGGTTAAGCTACAGTATGTCCCATATTTAAAAGTGTGGAACTTGTTTCCAGGCTGACCCATTCCTGCCCAATCCATCTTCCCAGTGTGAAGTTATTTAGAAAACAGCCAAGTTCAGCTAGAAATTGTTTTTCATCCCAACTTCAAGTCACACGGGCAGCTGGTTGGCTAGATGTTAGCAAGCACTTCAGAACTCCTAATACCACACCAACTCTGTTCCCTTTAGTGCCTTCTTCTACAAAATAAATAAATAAAAAATAAAACCGCCTCTGCCCCCCTCTAAGGTATGGGTCTTGCAAAAAGCGTGACCCAGTTTTGCAATCTGCAGAGGCAGCTCGGGGAACAGTTGTAAATCTTTGTCAAGCAGGTGTTACCTACATGCATCCTGGCTTTCAGAAACAGAACTAGTGCTATTCATCATGCTGGGGAAGTACAGACACCCCTTCTAGGAACTTGTGTCCCACGTGCCAGTCAGGCACCCAACATGGCCACTGTCAGCGTGGAGATCTCCCTTCAGCCACGGGAGGAAACAAGGTAGGACCAGTGAGGCTGAACTCCCTGCACACATGCCCCCAGCATGCACTGCACTACTGGCACAAGGTGGGATGTGTGCCCAGAGCGCCTACAAGTGGTCTGGGGCTCTCACAACCTATGTGGCCGGCCAGTATCCACAATGGGGAAGCTAAGTTACCAACTATTCAATCTACCCTCTCCCGTCACCAGACAGATGGCTTTATTTTAAGGGAATTAATATTAGGAATGAAAATGCTTTCTGTCTGGTGGGGGATCAGGGTGGAGGAAGGAACACTCTTGCAGAACTACTATGTGCCGGGCACTGTGCCCCAACTGTGTTATACGTACGATTCAGACACAGGCCCACACTGCTCCGTAAGCGAGCGAGAATAGTGCCGCCTGCTAACCAGAACAGCGTTTAACTACTGTTGATGAAATAATTACCTCTCTTCTCACCGTAATTCTGCGGGAAGACATCATTACTGAGAGAGCACATAGCTGGTAAAAAGGTAACGCTAGAATTCGTTTTTCCATGGCACTGCTGTTAGGCATGTTTTAAAAATGTAACCATCAGACATATTTATGGAAATACAAAAACAATTTGTAAAAATATTTAATTCACTCTAAAAGTTCTTAAATAATCAGTCCTAGATAAGGGACTGTAAACTGAAGTGTAATTCAACAACAGCAACCTGCAATTTACCATCATGTTCAACAGATACCTCAAAACTTAACCACATTAGTAGAAAAATGCATTTTTCATTTATCGTGAACAAGATATAAAACTAGATATATATTATCATGCTGATTTTGAAAAGAGAGATACAGGTGACATATTTTAAAAGACTAGAAGGGTGTGCCTGGGTGGCTTAATTGGTTAAGTGATCTCAGCTCAGATCTTAATCACAGGGTCCTGAGTTAAAAAAAAAAACAAAAAAAAACTAGAAGGGGCGCCTGGGTGGCTCAGGTCATGATCTCAGGGTCCTGGGATCGAGACCCGCATCGGGCTCCCTGCTCGGCGGGAAGCCTGCTTCTCCCTTTCCCATTCCCCCTGCTTGTGTTCCCTCTCTTGCTATCTTGTGTCAAATAAATATATAAAATCTTAAAAAAAAAAAAACAAAAACAAAAACTAGAAAACACCCAAATATTTATACTAGAATAGTATTATGATGAGGCTTGCATCCTTCTAGGACAGGAAAAAGAGATCATCCATACCCACCCACTCATACATCTTATTCGTCATGAAATTTACTCTTTTTTCCCCCGTTCTTTCTCCCGTGTCTCTACCCTTCTTAATAGCACCACATCTGCCTGCCATCCAAATCCGAAGCCTAGCACCATTCTGGCTCGCTCCCTTACCCTCATGGGTGGGGCTGTGAGCTGCACCAGCTCCTGGCTTAGTTCTCTGCCTGATCTGCCCCTCCCCTTCGGTGCCCAGAGGCTGGCCGGTCCAACCCAATCACCGAGGCAAAGGCTTGGTTCACCTTTGGTGTGCAGGAAGTCAAGTGCAGTGGCCACATCCCGTACCACTCGGCTGGCTTCCCGCTCATTGAAGTGCTTCTGCTTCTGGATGTGGGCCAGAATGGAGCCTGAGGAGAAGAGACACACAGTATGACTTTTTGGGCTCTAGGAAGTATAACTTCTCAGAGGTCAAGTCTGCACAAGTTTGGGGTAGGGACACAGCCTTATTCATCACTAAATGTCCAGCACCAAGTGTGGTACCTGGCACAGAGGAGGTACCAGCACAAAACTGGACTGAACATGGGGATGCCTGGGTGGCTCAGTCAGTTAAGCATCTGCCTTTGGCTCAGGTCGTGATCCCAGGATACTGGGATCGAGTCCCGCATTGGGCTCCCTGCTCAGCGGGGAGCCTGCTTCTCCCTCTCCCTCTGCCTGCAGCTCCCCCTGCTTGTGCTCTCTATCTCTCTGTGTCAAATAAATAAATAAAATCTTAAAAAAAAACTGGACTGAACAGAACTGGACTGCCATCTTCTGTACCTGCCCATGATGAGCACAGAAAGGAGAGAAAACAACTATTTGCATGACCAAAAATATTAATGCCATTGAGGCAGATCTGGCTTCTGAAATAGGAAAGAACTAAAAGCGAATCCACATAAGGTTGGGGGGCCTCTCCACAGGAACTCTTCTTCCTCTGCATCTGATCTCAGATCCAAACAAGAGCACAAGGCTTCAAAGAGAAACACGACACCCTCAACAGATATGTAAAGGTCTAGAAAGTCTAGAAAAAAGGGGAAAAAGTGCTTTCCCTCTGACTTTCCTATTTATTATTAATAGTATTATTTTTTGTTGGCATTGGCTAACATTTATTGAGTAGTTACTATGTGCCAGGCACTATGTAATAGTCTTCAGATAGATTATCTTAGCCTTACCACAACTGTGCAAATTGTACAAAATACAGTTATCCCCGTTTTATAGATGGGGAACCTGAAGCCAAGAATGGCTAAGTAACCTGCTCAAGATGACACACCAGTAAGTGGAGGCATCAGGACTTAAGCCCAGTAAGTCTGGCCTTAGAACCTGTATAGAACTGCCCCTCAACTGGATGTGTAGTCTGACTGCTGGGGGCACGGGCTGCCCTGAGCCAACCAGTCTCCTTACCTACTGCAGTGACTCTGGCCTCAGCAGGGCTGCACTCTAAGCAATACATTTACAGATGATTCCCAGCATTTTAAATGTAATGTCTTGGTGGTATTGAGCAGGGCAAGGGCATGAACATATGGCACGGGCATGAACATATGGCACAGGCATGAGTACATGGCCTGGTTCCATGCACTCTGTGCTCATGACTGGAAGTCAGTATTTCTGGGCTGGAGGGGTTATCTCTGCATCTTAAAAATGGCACAGGAGGATTAAAGATTAAAAAAAAAATGGCACAGGGGCGCCTGGGTGGCTCAGCCGGTTGAGCACCCGACTCTTGATTTTGGCTCAGGTCATGATCTCAGGGCTGTGAGACGGAGCTCTGTGCCCAGCATGGAGTCTGCTTGAGATTCTCTCTCTCTTCCTCTCCCTCTGTTCTCTCTCTCTCAAATAAATAAATAAATCTTTTTAAAAAATGGCACATATTTACTTATTGCTGGTTTTTGGCATAGGGAAGGGATAAAAGATCTTTCACTTGCCCGATAAAACAATGAAAGAATCCCAGCATGCTGGGGAACATTCCCAGATAACTGGCTCCTGGCTAGTCTCATATCTGCTCTACTGTAGTGAGTCTCTTGCTTCCAAATTTGTTCAAAGGGCAGATAGACAGTAATATGCTACCTACTTCTAAGATAGCCTTCGGCATACCCAATTGTTTTAATAATATTAATAGCTGACATTTATTGGACCCTTAGTGCCCATAGGGCACTGTGCCAAGCATGTCACATGAATGATCTCACTGCATCTTCAGAGCTACTGAAAGAGGTAAGTGCTGTCATGATCCCTATTTTACAGATGAGAACACTGTTTAGAAAGGTTATATGACTTGCCCAAGGTCACACAACTAGTAAGTGATGGAACTACACTTAAATCCAGCTTTGCTGGGTCTAGAGCATGCTCCCTTAACCACCAAACCCCTCCACATGGCCCCCCACTCAGCTCCAGATATCCTCCCTAACCTGCACCCTGCAAATCTGTCCTTGGGCTGGGTGAGTGATGGTGAGGGCAAGGGTTGCTCTATCCCATTCTGTATGTCAGAAAAGCAACTTGAACACACGTTCCAGTGATTGTGTGTGTGGGTGATGGCAGTAGCGGCGCCAGTCAAGAGTGGCATCTTTCCATCTGAAGGATACAGATCCTCAGGCCTCCTCTCTATCCTGGGTCTACTTCCTAAGCCATGGGACCCTCCTCTACTCTGGTGAGCCTTTCTGGACTTTACAACGTATGCAAGAGTTTCCACCCCATTATTAGTTTAAATAGTGAACACATCAAAACAATGGATTGATAAATTGATGACTAAATGTATCTATATATGAGTCCTATTACAATGAGAAGGCATTTATAGAATGCCCACACAGGTGACATTCTAGGCTCTGCAAAATGCTAATTATCATCCTTCCCTCTGGCCTCCCTTCTCCCAAATCAAGGGCAGTTTTAAGTCCTTCATCCTTTTTATTAGCTTGACTCATTTTAGAAGTCTCTGGGATTCATGATGGATGATCACCACCCTGGGTCTTAATCGGAAGTCCAAACACATACTCAACAGTTAAGTACCTCCTTGCAATTTCTCAAAGACCAAGTAAAACCTTGTGTCATCTTCAAAGAACTCAATCAGCTCCAAAATGTTCCTTAAATAGGAAAAAACAGGAGGAAAGGGAAAAAAAGGGAAATGGTATTATATATTAAAGCCCACTTACAAATACACAATGAAAAAAATATACAATGCCCTGTAGCAGGGCAGAAATCAACCTGAAATCAGAATGCTTATTAAAGACCCATGTTTGAGAAGTAGCCAATGGTGTTAGCAAGACTCAGGTCACCTTATCTTTCCATAATGTTCAGTCTCTGGTGTTTTCACCAAGTCTGTGCTGTCAAACCCCAACCCTAAAACCCACTAGGTAGAGTTATAAAAAAGTCCCGGTCACATTAAACTGAATAAAATCTGCAGCCGACTGGAAGCAATTGCGGCTAATAACACTGAATAGTAGGTGTGTGTCCTGGAGGCAAGCAGCAAATAATTACTTGCCCTCCCTCTTGCCCATAAATCACAGGGCAGTATTTACATTGCCTGGAGAAAATGGAAACATCTGTCAAATAGACTTGGGGCCTAACGTGGGCACCGCTAGACCCTAACTGCTAAGCGCTGCTTAATGAAACAGCCGCGTTCCCGGCCGCCGTAGCACTTGTGGCCTTCCCCGGTGAGCACTCTCTGTCGGCCTGAGCATTACCACACGCCGCCAACAAGGTCGTCTCAGAACTCAGGAGGGAAGCCGCCGGCCTGGATATTGGAGGTGTTGGGGGCTTTTTTTCTTTTAAAGAACGAAATAAACCAAGTAGAGGCTCTAATGCTGAACTCAGAAGCTGCAGGGCTGAAAATAAAAATCTGTCCCTCATAAAAAAATGCTGACCACTTTGGGAGACACCAGGCTTTTACTAGTGTGAAGGCATCCAAGTAAGATGACTAAAATGGCCTGATTTGAAAGAAGATTGTAGAAGCAGCGCCTGGAGTTAAATCAACAGCAGCCCCCATCCTCCAAGCTTAATGACAAAGCCATCAATACCTGGCCGCTGGCTCCCTGCTGACCCTGCTGTGCAGGGAGAGAGAGGGGGAAGCAGAGTCTTAGAGGTGACCCTGATTTAAAGCCACCGCGGGAGAAGCACTCATTTGGAGCTGGTGGTGAGCCGGCTGAGGTGGGGCTGGAGACCACCTTGGCCCAGCTGGCCTGCAGAGTCCTAGGCAGGAGCCTGGAGCCTGAGCAGCGGCCGCACACACACTAACATGCTGGGTATGGAACACGGCGGTATTCACGCTAGCTCTCATTGTCCTCATTTAGTCATGAAAGTTGAGCCCTCACAGTGTGTGCCAGGAGACACTTGGTCAGCCTCATCGCACGGGCACTTGAAGGAAGGAACCCCATCTTCTCCTAGCCCCTCATTCGGATCACTCTCTCTTCCAGCTTGCCTGGGTTGTTATTTACAGTGCTTCAGCCTGAACAGAAGCAAAGGCTCCTGCCACGTCTCCTCTAACCCCTCTCTCTTAAACACGGAAAGACAGAAGGAATCCTCTGCAGTTGTGGCCAAGGCATGTGAGCTAAATGCTGGGGTCAGGAGGTGGTGAGAAATGACCTTTTCTACAGCTAAACACCCTCCCAAGAGAAGCAGCAAGTAACCCAAGACTGTACTCACTTGTTTCCTTGACACTGATAGAGGGTCTCCACCTCTCGAAATACCCTACTCCGGCTATGCCCTGCTTGTTTTTCGATGATCTGTGGAAAGAACAAAATCTGTCATACCCACCTGACCTTGAAACACCTCTCGGCAGGAGCCCTCTGGGAGAATGCAAGGCCCAATTCAGCTCATATCCAGTTTCAAGCACAAGCATGGAGTAGGCCTTGGTGACACAGGCACCGTGACTCCACCAGCAACACACGAGACCAGCCCAAGGCTTTCCAGCCTGGCTGGGGCCTATTTTGACTCTGGCCAAGCAAATACTGTGGAAGCCTATGGGGACATTGAGGCAGCCAGCAAGAAGATAAAGAGCTACCTCTACCCAGGTCCTACCTCAAGGGCATCTCTTCCTGTCTTAAGGGTGAGATTTACAACCTCCACTGAAGGGTTTTCCAGGGTTGGAGGAAGAGCAAGGGGACTGGAGGATGCAGTGGAGAGGAACTAAAGCTCCGAGGCCCAGCTCAGACTCTACATCTGCAGTTCTGCGGAGAACGTGCCCTTTGGCAGTAATTCAGGTATACAGTCTCAGTTCTTACAACGCAATCCCAAAAGACAGGAAGAGGTCAAACATTTTGTCCACAGCTCTGATAAGTGGTAAAAGGGTTGGCATTCAAGGCCAGAGCTGCCTCCAAAGCCCTTGCTATCCTATCCCTGTCTATGTCTCATGCAGTTTCTCTCAAGGAACCGAGAGTCACTGTCTCTCCCACCTATACCTGAAGATGCTTGGCAAGTAGGAACTGAAGGCATGGGTGAGCCAATAGATGAGCAGGTGGTTTAAGCAGGGATGGGCTAACTCTGAACATCTCCACAGACCCATCAAGAGCCCCAAATCATTGCAAGTAGAGCCTGGGGGAAAGCCTTCTGCAGAGCTGGCTCTGCCTTATGGTCCCACGTATGGCGTGGGCAGCACAGATGGTAACACCCTGCTCCTTCATTCCCAGACCGCTGTGTAGAATACTTCAAACCACTCCCGTGTGTTATAGCACAAACACCCATGATCAGGTGCAATTTTCTATACAAGTCCACATCTGGTAGTAAACCACAGTGGGCCCACATTCTAAGAAGTCAGAGAGGTGCAGTGCTGGGGCACAGAAGCTATTTAACTCACTCATTTACCTAGCATTTCAGATCAAAGTCAGGAAGAATCTTCTAGGAGGCAAGCTATTCAGCAATGGTATTATTTTCTCTGCAGAAGTAATGGGCTCCTGCTATCAGAGGTTAGGGAGCAGAACATGGACAATTATTTGAGGAGTTATGGAAGAAATTCAGGACCAGATTATCCTGAAACTCCATTTCAACCCTGAGACTCTAGGATTCATCATTAGGATGCCTATAGGGAAGCCCTAATAAAACCCAATGTTGTGGGGCCATGCTGGGAGAAGTAGCCCATCTCTAGGGAGCTTCCAAAGGACAGGAGAGATATGAGATGTGGGTCGAACTGCTCAAACCAAAGAATTACCAAGCCAGGGTTGAGTGCACCAAAGATGCCCAGGGGCACAGAGGGCCAGGTTTTCCTCTTTATGATCCAACCTTGAAGAAAAAGGTCTGGATGGATGCATAAATGTCCCCAAACCTTTGAAAATCAACTTATATTTGTGGCTTATTACTACACTTAAGCATATTTTTAAAAAATTACTTGTAATTTATACTGATGTTTCCAAAAAGGAATTGAGGTAGTACTTTTGTTACCATATGAAGCAACACTCCAACAGAAGGAAATGTGGCTTAGCAGAAGTGTTCCCCTTTATTAACCCGCAGTTGGGACTACGGCCAGTTGGTCAAAGGAAGAAACACTTCTCTCAGGAGGCACTTTGGCTGGGTTTGCCTGTATGAGGCAGCACTTAGACCTGAGGGCTCAGGTGGATGATGTGAAATACATTTGAATTGCCCCCTTGGATTTAATGAGACCTTGTTTCTAGATCAGTGGTTCCCAAACTCTTGTGGGTACAAGAATCACCTGGGTAATGGGGTAAAAAATACAAAGACCCAGGCTCTATCCTCTACCAAGAAAACTGGGTCTCTGTGCTGTTAGCTCTCCAGATGATTCTGATCCACACTGAATGTAAAACGGCCCTATATGAGGGCTTCCCGAACTTCAGCAAATGTCAGAACCACTTGGAGACCTGGCTAAAATCATATTGCTGGGTCCACCCCTGGTTTCTGACTTAGTAGGTCCGGGATAAGGCCAGATAATTTGTATTTCTGACAAGCTCCCAGGCAATGCTGATACTGCTCATGCAGGAACCACACTTTGAGAACCAATGCTCCAGATCCATCCCTTCTTCCATGTAGAGCTGGCAAATGGAAGCACCAAGGGGTAGGGTGAGTCACCACAAGGTCATGTAGCAAGGAGCCACCTCTCCTGCCCCAGAGCTGAGTGCTCAGTCCTCATTATGATGATACCGTGTGTTACTTTATAGCATTGTGTAATTGGTAGTGTTTCTACTTCTTCCAGTTCATTTTTATTTTCATTCATAACCACTCTGTTGGGACAGGAAGGCCGGGTGTTGTTATCCTCATTTTAGAGATGTGGGAACTGAGGCTAAAGGAGGTTCAGCGACTTGCCCAAGTAGTAGTTTGGTAAAACAGAGATTTGGGTAGGCCTTCTAATTCCAAATCTGATTGTCTACTCCCTGAAGTTTGCTCCATTTTTCAGAATAAGCAGCAGCAGCTAGGCATTGTTCTAAGCACTTTACACATATTCTATCCCCACATCAATACTCTATAGTTTCCATAATTACACCCATTTTACAGAGACGGAAACCAAAGGACAGAGTGTTAAGTAACTTGCCTAATGTTACATGGCAAGTAAGTAGAGAAACAAAGAGTTGAATCCAGTGAGTCCCGCTTTGGAGCCCTCATTTTACTGAGTTACCATACTGCAGAATATGAAATGTATGGCTTAGGCCCAGCTAGGACTGACTGCATGTAAAGTCAAGTCTGGCATCCAGATGAGACACTCACTTTGACCGCATACTCTTTGCCATTCTGCAGGCTCACAGCACCTTGAACTTTGGCATAGGCTCCCTCTCCAAGCAATTCAGAGGTCAGCTTGTACATATCTAGAGGTAAAATGGGTGAGAGGAATAACAAGATGAGTCATGCCTTTGCAAGCTCAGATGGAAGGAAGAGCTTCTGTCACTCCACTTCCCTGGTGTGACAGCACGGGCACACACAGGGACTCTGTAGCACTCAGTGACAGGGAAGACCATTAACTCTCCCAGCCATCGCAGGACTCAGTTTCTCAACAACCAGACCACATCGAAGGCATCCTATTCCTCATTTTAAAGATGAGGTCAGTGAAAGAGTTTCAATTTGGCCCATGCTTCCTGAGTACCTACTATGTGCCACACAACATATTAAATTCATAATAGGGACAGAGTGAGGAATAAAATATAGTCCCTGCCCTTTGAGGGGAGGGACCTCCCCCACAGTCCAGTGGGGAAGACAGACATGCAGACAAGTGACTCCAGAATAAACCAGGCACTAGTAAGTACTATCATAAAAGGACAAGACACAGTTAAAAACAAAAACAGGGGGAGGGAAAGGTTAAATCTGTGTAGGGAAACTAGGGGATCCTCAGAGAAGGAATGTGATTTCAGTGGACATCATTCATTCATTTACTTATTTGTTGAGCACCTGCTCTGTGCCCAGTGCTGTGCTAGGCATTGGTGATACAAAGGGGAATGAAGCACTGTTTTATTGTATACCACACACAGAAGTCACTGGAGGTTTCTGAGAAGTTTCCAGAAGTCACCCACAGGAAACAGGAGACAGAAGTAGGATGCAAACAGACGCCTTGAGGTTTTTAGGATGCTGACTCAGGGCGGTTCTAACAGAGTAATAGGCCTGGGGTGAAAGAACATTTAGGTGACCTGCCCAAGCTCACAAATAGCACAGACTCTTTGAGCCCCTTTCAAAGGAAGCCACAGCTCCATCATGGCCTCTGCTGAGCTGACCTCCTCATCCCTTGACCTCCATTCTTCAGTTTTTTCCTCTTGAGGCAGCCCAGCATTTAAACCCACAGGATGAGCAAAACACTTTTAAAGCATGAAATTAGATTTTATCACTCCTAGCATGAGAGGCCTATAATTGTACAAGCCATCCTCGAATAACGGGAAGTACTCTTGTGTTCACAGAAAGAACAAGACCTGTTGATTTGGAAACTATTCTAAAAACCTCAAGACTTTTGTCCACCCCACCCCTTTACACATATATCTACCGTTTAAGTTAAAGACAAACAAATAGACAAACCCTACACTAAGTACCTTCTCCGGTCCAACACGGCATGGTCTTGCAGCTGTTTATAAGCATGCACACTGTTGTTTCTAAGTATTTTAAATGACATGCTTCTCTCACAAAGGATATATTGGTATTAGCCTTTCGTGCATGTCAGGATAGTTTGGTCGTTGGAAGTCCAATATCCCTTATTCATAAAAGGCTTGTTATTAGAACTACTCTATAAAACAATCGATTCACTAGTCTATCTGCCACGTTGGAAAGAGGGACGATGAGGGAAGGCTATTTCAGGTCTCACAATAAAAGAAACATGATAAGTGAAGGGGGCACATCACTCCTGGAGTAGCTACTGACCCTCCAGTCCCTTGCAAAAGTGTATAATGACTCACCTCATGCCATCGCGTGCCCAGCGATGACAGGACCAGCACTGAGCCTGTGCCTCACACAGTGTTCAAAATCTTTGATGATCCAACACCGTATCCCCTGAACACAGCATGTGCTCTTAAAATGGAGTCAAATGCATACACCACAAGTAGCTGTGATCTCTAGGAGTCAACTCCTCTGTTTCTAGAAGATTTAACTTTCATCTGGAGCCATGGCCCTTGCTGTTCTCTCATCCTTTTACACAGTGGTTCTACCTCTCAGCAGCTCCTTCAGGAACAGCCGGGACAAAGATCACATCAGAAAAGGGCCGAACTACACCAAGCAATCTCACTCCAAATCCAAGTCTGACGGATTGGTCTTTCTATGCCCTGGTGAAGTGCTGAAACCATTCAGAGTGCATCATCCGAGAGCTCTGTCATCCCACTTTTCATCTCTGTCACACAGATAAGGACAAGCTGACTCTCAGATGACGCATGCTCTGATCTAGACCTATGGGCTACCTGGATGCTGCTCCCATGCTCGGGGAGCCACAGGCCCAGATCTGAGGAGTCGTGTGACCAACCTTCAAACTTCCCTGGTAAGGAGTCAGTGGTCCGGGCCTTCCGCTTCTTCTTTTTCCTCTTGTCACCCTCTGCAATGGGAAGGGGTTCACTGCTGCCCATCTCTGGGGAAAAAGAGATATAAGGGAAATATCACTATACCGGTCAAGTCATAAGTTCATCCAGAAGGGAAAAAAAGGGGGGCAGGGGCGACCCAGGAGCTTTACACTGATGGGTTTTTAAATATCTGTGAGGACTATTGATTTGTTTGACCCAGGAGGCAAAACTAAAGGCAAAGCCATTATTGGAGATCATTAACTGTGGAAAGGAACTCAGACAGACAGGCTAGATTAAAAGAGGATAGCAGAACCTGCTTTAACCAAGCTCGTTAGGATATGGATTTAGATCTGCCACCAGTCAAACTGTAGTTCCCAACAAAAACAATGAATCCATAAGCAGAATCCCACCTGTGATGTCCTCCTGCCTCACCACCAGAAAGGCAAGACCCAGGGAGCTAAGCAAGGGCGTGGGCTTGGGAGGGGCCCCTGCAAATGAAATCATATGCTCAGTGACATCCGAGTGGATGTGCACAGGGATTCACAGGCCGTCAGTGGAGGTACAACAAGGGCAGGGGATGGCTTTGAGGATGGCCCTAAATTACTTCAGGTCTAGGAACACAGACCTGAGTACCTGTGGAACCCCGAGCATCCTCTTATTTGAGAGGATGCAGTTAGGGTCTATTCAGAAGTCTGCAGTTGACAGGTCTACACCAGGCTGCTGCATAAGGTCATTTATTGCAAAAACATTATTATCTCTCACTGGCCAGCAGGTTAAAGGGAGGCTCCCCATGTTAAAGGGCAGATTTGTGAGGCAGACATTTCGACACTGGGCACACCAGCCAGGAAAGGGTAGGGATGGAAAGAATAAACAGGAGACTGAGAGGGCGAAAGAGAAAGGAGGAACAGGGAACCAGGGCCCAATCAGGGCACTGTTTCTAAGACACTCTGGTAAGGGCCTTCCCCTGTTAAAGATAAATTACTTATAGAACATGTCATGCCCCTGATCCAGAGTGAGCCTTAATACTCTTTGCCTGCAGTTAGAAATAATAAGATTTCTCTGAAGTCTCTGGGTCTAAATCCCCACCAGGGTGATTAAACCTTTACATCCTTCTAAAATAGAAGCACTCGGGTGCTGGTGGGGCATGCAGTGTGAGAGACTTTTAGACCAACCTTCAATAAACACAGGCTCTGGCTTGTTGGATTTTTTTTTTTTTTCTAAGAGATTTTGAAATGGAAACTGGCTCTTTGCCCATTGAGGGGAAAGGCCCACTTTCTTCTCAGAGGACCCCGGCTGAACACGGTCAGAAAAATGGCAAGTCTGCTCGGGAAGATTGATTAGGGCCGAAGCATGTCTCTATATTGTTCTCAGAAGCAAGTACACAACATCCATTAGGAGAGAGCACACAGAACGATGGCACTTTCCACACCATAATCCGGAAAGTATGGTTAGGCAGCCAAGTGTCTGACAGCTCAGTTTAGGTGCATTCTTCCTCCCATTTTTGGATCTGATGACAGTAGATTTTCAATTATACTTTAGAGAACAGATAAGCACATGGATAAAAGGAATCCAAGAGGATCTCAAAATATTACTCTGGCCAACAGTTTCAAGCACAAGATCTATCTGGGGACGGCAACACACTATGAATTCAAAGAATCCAACTTAAATATCAGCACTCAATATCCACCCTCACTAAGGTAAGTTAAAGGGAAAAAGCTGCCCAACACAGTGAGAAATTCTACAGAAATGAAACCCAGGGGGCTCTTCAGGAGCCCAGGGAGGGGCACTGGCCACTAGGACAGCAGGCTGAGGAGGAGGGGCCACCGTCCCTCTCGCCCTGCCCTTGTGCGCAGTCCAGTGCCAATCCGTTTTCTTCTCAGTGCTGCGAGGCAAGTGCAGACTGGACCGATTTTGGATTCCCTTCTCTTTTTCCTTCCTCTGCCTGCACTCAGACGGAGGGCCTAAGGACAAGCAAAACAGCCAAAAGGTAGGCAATGCAGAGGAGCAGCAAGAGAGCTGGAAGCATTATAATTCATAGGGGATGCACAGACATACTTACGACTCTAGCTAGAAAACCCTGTTAGAGGCAATTTATACTTGGTTTTTACCACAGCAGGGCTGAGGGAGCCTCTTGTGGAAGAATCATACCTCTGAGCACTGCCGCATATTCAATATTAGATTTTATGACTTCACACACAAAAAGATAGAGTACCTGGTCTATTCTGCATGGATTTCAATGGAAGAGGGTACGCCAGAAGGGACAAATGGTTAAGATTTTCCTTGGAAACAGAACTTGTTGAAGGAGAGTTGTTTTTGAAACTAGGAAGAAAAAAATGTAGGAAGGCAGTGAAGTGAAAAAAAACAAAAAACAAAAAACCATGCTTAATTTCCCTGTTTACATGGGGGGAGGGGAGAGGGAGAGGTGTCATAATCTTACCAAGGGGTTGATAGGTTCCCCAACTGGAGCCTGTCCATAATCTCTATTCTATTGCAGACAATCCACTGGCAGGGTCTGTGGGACCTTAATTTTTTAAGCATGCAAACACTAGATGAAAGCTTCCTGGGCTGGGGGTGGCGGGCAGCGCCTGGGTGGCTCAGTTGTTAAGCATCTGCCTTCGGCTCAGGTCATGATCCCAGGGTCCTGGGATGGAGCCCCGAATCGGGCTCCTTGCTCCGCAGGAAGCCTGCTTCTCCCTCTCCCACTCCCCCTGCTTGTGTTCCCTCTCTTGCTGTTTCTGTCAAATAAATAAAATCTTTAAAAAAAAAAAAAGCTTCCTCGGAGCATAAGCCTCCACAATCATGCTGCTCCTCAGCTCACCGCCTTCCCTTGGCCAGAGACTTCTTTTCACTGCAAACACTACAACCCAGCTCAAAAGTCTCTGCTCCCCCACCTCCAGAGTCTCCACCCCTTTGAACAAATTCAGTTTGTACAAACACTTTGGAAATCAGTTAGGTATTAGGCAAATATATGGCTTCACTGCACAGAACTAATAGTGCTCCTCCTCTGCTCCTAAACACCCTGTTAGAAGTTCCATTAGAGCACTGGCGGGATTTGGCCTTGAGCTCTCTCTCCCCAGTGTTCTTAAAAGCCAGGACTGTTGCCTGTTCATCTCTGCATCTCCTATAAGCCATGGCACAGTGTCAGATACATACCAACCCTCAGAAAATGTGCACTGAAAATGCTGCACATACTTAGTGTTAGTTGCAGTGCATGTCACCCAGGCCCTTTAAGTAACAAAGTGCATGCACCGAAAGAAATGTGGGTCCACCCCTGCCCTACAGACTGCAGAGTGAGGCTATTCTGTTCTGAGTTCTCTGACAAACTCCTCCTAAGAAAAAGCCCTGTGGCCCTTGACTTTCTAGCCAGAAGCCTGGTCTCTGCTATAGAATTGAGCAACGTGCTTGTGATTTCAGAGGAGGAAACGAGCACTTCTTTTACGTTTTCAGACAGACTCCAGCTGGTGTGCAGGCTCCCAGTACTTCTACTGCCTTTAGCCCTTACCTTCCCCTTGGTCAGGGCTCGGTGGTCTACCATCCGTGTACTGGTAGAGGTGGAGCTGGAAAGGAAGCACACTGTTGACAGGGAAGGACATGAGCTTGGCAACAGGAGACCAAAGTGAAAATCCCGCCTCAGATATTAGCAGACATAGCACCAAGGCTATGCCAAGTTACTTTGCCTCTTAGAGTCTCAGCCTTCTCATCTACAGAACAGGTTTTAAAATAATATCTGCCCTTTTCAGCAACCCTGTGAGGACCCAATGACATACCTGATATAAATGTGCAGGAGAAACATACATGTATGGGGCACCTGGGTGTCTCTGTCGGTTAAGCGTCTGACTCTTGATTTCAGCTCAGGTCATGATCTCAGGGTCGTGAGACCGAGCCCTGCATTGGGTTCCACGCTCAGTGGGGAGTTTGCTCAGGATTCTCTTTCTCCCTCTCCCTCTGCCCCTCCCCACCCTACTCACTTGCTCTCCCTAAAATAAATGAATACATCTTAAAAATTATGAATATGCACAGGTATGTAGACATACTAGACAGAAATACACAAAAATGTTAATACTACTGCAACTTGAAAGAGTGCCTAATATATGCCAGGCACTGTGCTACGTATTTTACATACATTACAATAATTTTAATTCTTACAATAATCCCACAAGGTAAATATTTTATTATATTTCAGGTGAGGAAACTGAGGCTCAGAGGTTAAACAATCTACCAAACACCAAACACCAAACACCTGGTTAGTGGTTTAACTGGGATTCAAGCTCAATGCTACCTTTGGCATCCAGGATATTTCTAATCTATAGTTTTCTCCGTGTGATGGGGTAATTTTTATTTTCTGCTTTATATTTTTCAGCATTCTCCAAATTTTATACAATGAAATGTGTTACTTTTTAAATGCTATTATTATTTTAGCCAAGTTTTATTTTCAATAAAATACACAATAATTTTTCTCCAACACACACTGGAATTTAGAATCTGAATATACAGTATTTAAAATCATATCTAGATTTCTCTGTACTGAAATCCAACAATCAGTGAGGAAAAAACATTTCAGTAATATTGGTGCCTTGAAAACAACAAACACTATTTTAATTTTTATTTTTTTAAATGCTATTTTTTTTTAAAGGAAAAACTTTGTAAAAAAACAAAATGATGTAATGAGCATTTGAGCCTGCAAGATACCAGTTTAAATCCTGGCTCTCCACCACTGTGTGCGCTCTGGCGCTTGCTTAGCTTCTCTAAGTATCAGTTTCTTCATATACCAAAAGAGGTCAGAGGCCTGGGCTGCCTGTACCACGAGGCTGTGGCGAGGGTCAAAGAAGACACGATGTGAAGGCACTGATGAGTTACTCATTCAACAAATACTGTATTTACTGGGAACCTATGGATTGTCCAGTGCTAGACAGTAAGAATACAAGAGAAGACAGTCTCTCTGCCCTTAGGAATTTAAATCCAATGACCTATAAAACAAGATGTAGGACAAGTGCCTTGTGACCGGCAAGTATCAGGTGCTGTGGAGCAGAAGACAGGCATCAAATTCAGTTTAGTAACTAGAGGAAGGGACAGCTAAGCTGCCATCTGAAGGATGAGTGGGAACTGGCCAGGGTGAGGCCAGTGTCTCACCTTCAGGGTGAGAAGGACAGAGAAAGAGCGTGTGCTAAGGCTGAAGAGAGGTAGCATGGCCAGTCAGTGTGAATTCGAGAGAACTCCCAGAGCTGTTGAGGAGGGGCCGAGGAGTCTCACCTATTGCAGTGGGACTGCACTAGCAACAGATATTCCCAACACGTTAAATACCCTTCATCCAAAAAAAAAAAAAAAAAACCAGAAAAACCCTTCATCCACTGTTCTCCCCACAGGTGACCCCAAGGCCCACCTCTGAAAGAATTGTCACTTCTCCAAAAAGTCTTATGAGCCACACTGCCCCCAAAAGCAGCAGATCTGTTCTCCATGTTTTGATGGAGCCTACAGAGAACTGAGCAGCTCCTGCATCTGACATGTGATACCCAAGATGATCATTTTCCCCCTAAGAACACAACTTTGCTGGCTAACTCAGCTCAGCAAATGTACTTCATGCTCCTCTCCCGAGTGCTCGAGAGTTCTTTTCAAAGTCTATGGTTCACTCCTTTTCCCAACCTGTAAGAGTTATTTCCCTCAGTCACAAGGGCTTTCCAGAGAAGGAAGAGTGGTGAGAACAAGCTAAGGAGTACAATTATCTGTTGTGTCGCCTCCTCAGTCGCCAGCTGGTGGAGGCCCCCAAACCATGGAGACCTGACGAAGTCAAAGGAAGGGGGCAGACACTCTTAAGGAAGAGCCAAGACTGAGAAATGGGAGGCTGAGGAGGAGGCAATGAGGAGGGGCCTGGGAAGACAGAGCCCAGATATTTACTTCTTTTCTTTAAAATTTTATTATGTTAGTCACCATACAGTACGTCATTAGTTTTTGATATAGTGTTCCATGATTCATTGTTTGCGTATAACACCCAATGCTCCATGCACTATGTGCCCTCCTTAACATCCATCCCCAGGCTAACCCATCCCCCCACTCCCCTCCCTCTAAAACCCTCAGTTTGTTTCCCGGAGTCCATAGTCTCTCATGGTTCGTCTCCCTCTCTGATTCCCCCCCTTCATTTCTCCCTTCCTTCTTCTAATGTCCTCCATGCTATTATTCTTTATGTTCCACAAATAAGTGAAACCATATGATAATTGACTTTCTCTGCTTGACTTATTTCACTTAGCAAAATCCCCTCCAGTTCCATCCATGTCAATACAAATGGTGGGTACTCATCCTTTCGGATGGCTGAGTAATATTCCATTGTATATGGACTACATCTTCTTTATCCATTCGTCTGTTGAAGGGCATCTTGGCTCTTTGCACAGTTTGGCTATTGCGGACATTGCTGCTTTGAACATTGGGGTGCATATGGCCCTTCTTTTCAATACATCTGTATCTTTGGGGTAAATACCCAGTAGTGGAATTGCTGGATCACAGGGTAGCTCTATTATTAACTTTTTGAGGAACCTCCATACTGTTTTCCAAAGTGGCTGTACCAACTTGCATTCCCACCAACACTTTAAGAGGGTTCCCCTTTCTCCACATCCTCTCCAACATTTGTTGTTTCTTGCCTTGTCAATTTGACAAGGGAAACAAAAGCGAAAATGAACTTTTGGGACTTCATCAAGATAAAAAGCTTCTGCACAGCAAAGGAAACAGTCAACAAAGAGGCAACCCACGGAATGGGAGAAGATATTTGCAAATGATACTACAGATAAAGGGCTGGTATCCAAGATCTATAAAAAACTTAACAAACTCAACACCGAAGAAACAAATAAGTCAAAAAATGGGCAGAAGACACGAACAGACACTTCTCTAAAGAAGACATATGAATGGTTAACAGACACATGAAAAAATGTTCAACATCATTAGCCACCAGGGAATTCAAATCAAAACCACACTGAGATACCACCTTACACCAGTTAGAATGGCAAAAAATGGACACTTACTTCTCTGAAGGAGCAGTACTAGCAGCCACAGTGCACACACTTACACAGTGCTCACCAGATGCCAGACAATGTCCCAAGCATTTTACAAACACATTTTTTTTTTTAATTTATTTGACACAGAGAAGGAGACAGCGAGAGAGGGAACACAAGCAGGGGGAGTGGGAGAGGGAGAAGCAGGCTCCTGGTTGAGCAGGGAGCCCGATGCAGGGCTCGATCCCAGGACCCTGGGATCATGACCTGAGCCAAAGGCAGATACTTAATGACTGAGCCATCCAGGCGCCCCTACAAACACATTTTACATATCCTAACTTCTTTCATCTTCACAACTCTATGAGATATTTTTACATTTTACAGATGAAGAAATTGAGGTACAAAGATATTAAGTAATTAATTTGCCCAGGGTCACAAAGCTAGTTAGTGGCAGAGCTAGGATTTACATCTAGATAGACTGGCTTAAAATTCAAGTTTTTAACTATTACATTACTAGTAGAATATTTAATATTATTTCATATATCAAATATTATTAATATTATATTGAGGCATTCGTGCTGAAAGGCAGGAGCGGTAGCCAGTCAGAATTAGCCAGGCACCAACAAGAATGCTTTTATTTAGAAGCTTTAGCACAGAGTTTCCCTACTGATGTGCTGTGAATGAGATATTGATCCCGTCACTGGGCTGAAGAATATAATTTTCTGTGTGTGCTATGATGTCAAGAAGGCTGGGCAGCTCTGCTCTAGCTTACACAAATACAAAGGCATTATCACCACATTACCATTATTATATTAATCTGAAATCTGATTTATCAGAAGTTTCTTTGTCTTACTTGGAGATAACTTTGTATTTTGTGTTTTGGCATATTATGGAGGATGAGTTACAAACCAGTCCAACCACATTATTTCACGGCAGTTCTGGTATCAGGTACAAGGCTACATTCTTCTTCTATCTGACCTATTGGTTGGTTGGTGTCATTTCTGATGGTATCATTACTATGCAGGGGACAAGGTCAAGGAAAAAGTACACTCAAACAGAAGCTAGTCAAATTTAAGACATGATGGATGAAAGGAGTCACCTGTGCAATCAACTCACTCAAAGGACAGTCTGTGAGTGTGATTCCAGGGGGCTAGGCTATTTCACAGGTTTTTCCCAAGAGTCCTGTGTGTAGGTAGGCTGGCCAGAATGAGGCAGACTGCAGTATCTCACACAACTACAGTGAGAGTTGGCAGTCTGAGGCCCACAAGGGTGCCGGCAGGGTGGTGATTCACAAAAGGCCTCAGACAGGGCTAGGATAGCAAGATTTCCAGAGGGAAAAGGTCTGGAGTCAGGCCCATCTTCTTCCTCTGTTCTGACTCTTCAGAGCTGTCAGCGCATCTCCTGGCAGAAGGAATGATCAGAGGAAGGACAGAGCGGGTAAAGAAGTATGTGCTTTAAAAAGAGCAAGCAAGAGGGAAGGACTGTATTTGTGGGAGCAGGACAGTATAAAAAGCTGAAAAAGGCAGGCTGAAGTCAGATCACCCAACCTTATTAATGTGGCCACAAGGCCCTCCAACATTTGGTCCCTATGTGCTC